TGTGTGTGTGTGTGTGTGTGTGTGTGTGTGTGTGTGTGTGTGTGTGTGTGTGTGTGTAGGGGGGGGTTGGGCTGTCATGTTGCCTTCCTCCCCAGTCGTTTGCACTGGACAGCTCCCTGGTAACTTGCATTTTAAAGAGACTCTGGATTGCATATTTAGGATGCCATTCCCGTTGTTTAACTTGTTTGCGTTGTGTCACTTAATTCCTTGCCATGAATGAACAAAATGAAGGGCGATTAAGCATTTATTAAGGTCAGCTCTGGGCTTATCTTGCCACTGTGGGGCTCTCAGCACCTCACAAAGAGCCATTTAAAAAGAAGAAAAAAAAAAGAAATGCCAAAGCTCTCAAAGGCTCCAGTGAATTGCTTATCTTGGCTTGAAACTCTTCATTGAGTTTATGGCTTTATTCTGAACGAATGCAAATATTTATATAATTCTGGCTTTCTAAAAATAGACCTGCTACTTGGAAATGAAACTTCACTATGAAGTCATAGGACAACAATATTAGCTTAATTAGACTGCAGCTAATTTATTTCTGTTCTGACTTGTTCTTTAATTACTGTGTGCAAAGAAAAAAGTCTATTATCACCCACAGCTGTGAGTGTGTGTCACTTTTTATGTGTATGTGTGGGTGGGTGAGGGATATTGTGCACATGAGCATGCATATGCACATCTCCGGTGTGTACATGCATGTTTGTAGTTGCAGTTGGAGGATTTATAGTTGTGTTGTGTTGTGCTGTGCTGTGCTGTGCTGTGGCAGGGGTTTGGCTTGCCCGGCAGGCAGGCAGTATCCAGGCTTCATGTTTTGGCCAGACCTGAACTCAGGAGTGGTGTGTCAGTCAAAGCCGACGTTGAGACTGAGCCATAGACACCACAAACAGAGGAGTGTGAGATCCTCTCCTGGGAGGCAGATACAGAAAAAGAGTGAAAAGCCTTTTTTGTAACTCCCCCACAACAGCTTTTAAAGGAATAGTTTACCAGAAACCAAATAAGCTTATCTCCCATAATGTCATAGAGTTAGATATAAACTATTGGCAGCAGCCATAAGTTAAACTAATGAGATGTTAATCAGCGAGTGCTGGTAGTTTGATTTTGTTTCTTTGGACAGTCCTATGCTAGCTGTTTCCCACTGTTTAGAGTCGTCTTTGTGCTAAGCTAAGCTAACCGGCCTCTGGTTGTCGCCTCATATTACCCCTACAGACACGAGAAAGGTCTCAAGTGTCAAAATCACAGCGAGTAAATATGAATATGAAGCAAAGATTAGGCACACAGTGCGGTATCGCTCAACATTTTGATTACATTAATCCTTGCTTGCTTAGTAGATTCAAAGCTATAATGAGTCGAAAGTTCAGGTGTAATGTGATCCTCCTGCTGTCAAGTCATGTCAGAACGATGTGGCATTTGGTTTTCTGCGTTGTGCCAGAAACTTTGTTACTGAGCTTCAGAGTTGTCAGTTTTTTTTTTTTTACATAAATTGGTTTTGTCTGGTGCTCTGACAGATTTATGTAGAATGGTAGCCCTAAAGACACATCAGGTGATAAATGAGACATTTGAGGCACCAGGTTTCATACTAGGATGGTTTATTAGATGAAAAGGTCACATGATGGTGTCTGCAAAGAGTGTGGGGCAAACTAGAGACTTTAAATGATTGATTATCCTTGAAACGCACTGGATTGTATTTAATAGGTGGCAACATTTTATCTGGAGCTTGTGCACAACGCTTTGTTGAAGAGCCTTTTAAGGACTTGTCTTGCAATTAACAGTGTTTTGGACCTAATTGGGTCACACTGTTAGTCCGTGTGCCTTTGTCCAGTTCCCCTTCTTAAACACTTTTTATCATTTTTTTTTTTGTTTTTTTTACAGAAACAATGAGACGAGACAGAAGAGTAACTGAAAGAGCTGCAACATTGAAAAGAATTTGGGTTTCACGCCAACGCTTTGAGTAGGAAGTGGCAATAAGCGTTCGCAGGCTGTGCTGCCAGGACGCCTCAGCGGGATGCAAGTGTTGACATGTGATGCAACCCTGGACGATCTCAGCCCTGCATGGGTGTAAAACGAAAAATCGACACTGAGGATCCTCATTACCATATGAATGAGCGTCAACAGGAATGCATGGCACACAGCGAAAGATTCCCTCTGAAGGGGGGGGAGCCTGAAACTCACAACAAAGTGTTGTCTATGAAGGAGAAAACTAGCTGGTGTGTGCTTTGCACTTATCAAAAGAGATGGAATTCAGGAAATAAAGGAAAAGCCTATGGGAAAGTGGATCTATGTTTTGTCTTAGAGCAGAGAAAGATTCAGAAGATTAAGACATGAATATAATTGGGTTTACTGTCAGGCTCATGTGGCACGGGTCCATACCAGCACAACCAGGAAATACGCTTTTTTCTTTATGTGTTTGCATTCCTTTCGGCACCTCAGACAAACCCATACCACTCCTCCCCGGCCACCTCTCCTTCTCTTTTTCTCTTTATGTTCTCACACGGACGTGCACCCTTGTATTATGTGCTCTGGCCATCTGCTACCTTCAGGTCAGGGGTGTGTGTGTGCCCTGAACACATCGTCTTCATGCCATCGCTGCACAGAGAGCCAGGCGGTGTTTGCTCCGTTATGGAAATTTCTCTTCTCTTTTTCTTTGCTTTGTGTCGATCGGGGTTCAGTTTAGGATCTTGTGATGGTCATCGGCCTCTCCTGCCAAATCAACAACCAGAGGGAGAAGGAGCTGTTTTCTTTCTTTTACTTCCTTGGAAAGCTGTCTTGTCATATGTGGTAACATACTAATTGGCATAAATGAAAGTTTAACTTTATAGAGTCAGCTGATCATTTTCATTCTCAGTTAATCTGCAGGTTACTTTCTCAATTAATCTATTAGTTGTTTGTTCTTTAAAATGCCAAAATATTGTGAAGATTTCCTAAAGCCCGGGATGAGGTCTTTAAATGGCTCGTTGGGTGCAAAACTCCAACGTTTTTAGTTTACAATCGACAAAAAATAAGACGAAGAAAACCAAACCCAAACCTTAAGACATTTCACTTAAAAAATAAACTATTAATCGATCGGCTAATGGATTTATCAGCTAATTCTTGTAGCTGATACGAACACCATTTCCTCATTGTTCCCCATCCAAAAGTGTACTTATGGAATTTCTTTGTTAAAGGTGTGAAACTCTCTTAAATTCTCCTAGTTAGTTCTTTGCGTTTTGCCTCAAAGTGTCGAATAAAATGTCTTTTTAGTTTAGTATTTCAATGAACTTCTTTAGCTTATCTTGTAAAAACAGCTCCCCTTGCTAACTGTATATTATTGCACATAAAATATTATTTAAAAGAAAAGCAGACTCAGAGATTCCATTATCGTTTTTTGTCTGATTAATGATTAATCAATCATAGATAGCTTTTCGTATCAAAAGCATTTAAAGGGGAAATGCTGACATACTTGATGTGAGAAGTTGAGAGGAGCCGGACATGACTTGTGATGGTTTGACATGTGACACCAGTGAAAATGGCTAAAAGTCTCACTCATTAAGTCAAAACGAGTGTCCTGTCGTTGCTCTGGTGAAGGTGTAACTCCCGTCAAGCAGTGCGACAGTGGAAGGAGACGGCGGCGAGGCTGTAAATCTGGAGCTGTGGTCTGGAATGCTGCTCGTGTCCGAACACGCTTCCTCTTCCCGTTATGAAAGACCCCTGAAAGACGATGGCATGCTGACAACAACTCCATGCATAACCATCTCGCCTCTCTTCAGTCTTGCGTTACCAGATCGAGCGTTCGCAGGAGAGTCTGCAGTTTTTGGATCCGTCTTGGTTTTTAAAAATCTTTCTCCCAAAATGTTCTTCTCTACCTTTTTCCTACAACTTATTAATTCTTCCCCATCCACAAGTTTATGATAGTTCATTTTTGGTAAGGGCATAAAACAAACTTAGCTTCTACCTCTTGAATTTTAATTTTTCTTTTGTGTCTGTGCTTTTAAATGACTTAAATCCAGTGTATTTGTAATAGCAGTTAACCTTCATTTGATGTCGTTCATCTGGAGAGAAGAAACTTGATTTTAGGCTAAAGAGCCTGTAGTTTTGGATCGGTCTTGCTCTTAAAAGCCTTCTAAGACCCCAAGGCTAGTGTACAAAAATATCAAAGTACTATTGTAATGCAGGCTACTTTTCTGTAGGTTTCATGTCGATTCAAATCTAAGCTTGCAGACAGTGTTTAAAGGGTTACAAGGAAGTCCAGGCCAGAACCGATGAAAACAAACCACCATAACAGATTATTACAGTTTGCCAGCTTGGGCCTACACATTAACTCTTGGGACTCAGTATAGCGGCAGAAAAACATACTGCATGTTTCCCCTTCACTCCGCAGTTCGGCACATGTTTTAGCTACTGAGCTGCAGGCCCTCGAACGCATCATGATCCAGGCGAATGCAAACACACCGCTGGCTGGAAAACGTCCTTAAATTAAAGTAAGCAGAAATTAAGAAGTGCTTAGAGATGTGCTTTATATCCAGGAAGTGTTGAGGTCTGTTTGAATTCAAATGAAACTGATGGCGGAGGGTCGGTGATGGGTTGCGTTCTTGTCGTTCAAGCTGTTTTGTTTTTCTTTCTCACTGTGGTGATTGTGGAATGCTTTTAAAAGTGGCCTCTCTTCTTACAACTGAAATGTGTTTTATTTACTCAGTGTTATATAATCAGCTGGAACACAGAGGCATGGCATCCCAGAAGCAATTTCATCCCACGTTTTTTTATTTCTCAAGTGGGGAAAAAAAGTCGAGAAAAAATATTCAAGGCTTGTTTTTGTTTTGAGAGGAGCTCTCCTCACTGACCTGATTTTGAGGGAATTGGAGATGGCGGTGATTATTGCGAGTTGCTTTATAAAATTGCCTTGCAGAGTTCAGAGACGGGTTGACTTCCAGAGACAAGTAAATCCCAGTGGAGCCCTCTGCTCTCTCCCTGCTGCTTTCAGGGCTTCGTCAATAAAAGCAACCAAGCAAAAAAAAAAAAAAGAAAAAACCTTGGTTTCAATCGACTGAGTAGGAGTTATGTACTTTGAAACCATGTGACGTTTTTATGTACTTCAGTTCTCTTCCATTGGACTGCTCTGGATTAATAATACAAACACATCGTAGTTGTTTTCTGACTCATTCACTTTTTCTTTTTTTTTTTTTTTCTTTTTTTTAGCAGCACAAGCTACTCATGCACATACAGGAGGCCCTCTGTTAGATTTCGATTTTGTAAAGTGAAAATATTCCCCAAGTCTGTAATTTGGTGGCTGTAGCTTGGCGCGCATGAAAATGCATTTCCTTGAGGAAAGGAGAAGTTGTCATTATAGCATGTGGAGGGGCTCGTCTGGGAGCCGCTGAGGATCAAAACAGTCTTTTACTTGAGCACTGCTGTACATGTCAGAGCAGGACCCTGCCCTCAGCACCTCGCTCTGCCCGTCACACACACACACACACACACACACACACACACACACATACGCTCAGAGGTTTTTTTTTTTCTTATCTTCTCATCCAACCTTGTGAAAATACAAACAAGCCAGATAGTTTGCAAAGGTGGTTTCTGATTTCTAATGAAAAAAACGATTCTTACTTTCTGATTGGGGAAAAAAAAAAACATCCAATAAAACATAAACACACTCAGAGCTATGCAGCTCTTTTCATGCCCTCTTTTGGACATTAAGGGACCACATTAACTACACATACTTTTTTCACTACACTGGCTGTACTTCGCCCCCTTACACACACACACACACACACACACACACACACACCCTCCCCTCTCTGCTCTATTTTCACAGCTGTAATGTCGGCAGTTTCTCACACTTTCCCAAGTTGCTGTGATGGAAGCTATGTGTGCGTTCAATCCCTCTATCTCTCTGTGATCTCTTTTGAATTCAAAGCCCACATATTCCCGAAACTGAGACTCCTCGATTGGGAAATCACTGGGGAGGGAAGGGGGGGAGGTGCTCCAAGGGGACTGTGGTGGTGTGATTGAAAGTTTGCCTTTGGTCATAAAAACAAAATCACAATAGTCCATCCAAAAGTGATAAAACATGAGACAAAACAAAGATGTGGCTCTTTTTGTTCTGACTGACTGACTTTAAAAGGCAGCGACAGGAATGAGAGAAGGGATGAGAGAGGAAACCTATAAAACTTAATCACATTTTTAAGCGTTTCCACACCTGTGGTTTCTTGATGCAGATGTTTTCTTCAACTTGACAGAACATGAATAGTCTGACAATAAACGTCCGATTCAGCCGTTAACTCCACTTCAATAATGACTTAAATCATGATCATGAAGATGATTAGCTGCGTTTTATTTTATGCCAAGAAGTTGTAACTCTCACTCTTTCTCTTTCCATCACGCCCTCAGCTTTCATTGAGAATGTCCAAACCCCCTGTGCTAATGGCCGTGAGGTGGGCAGGGCCAGTGAGTCTTCGTCATGGCGGCCACCGCTCACCACCATCACTGTCTCTAAGAAGCGCAACTGGCTGCAGCAGAGCTCCCTCGCGAAGAATCCCTGCACCAAGGACGAGCTGCAGGGAATGCTGGGAGCTGAGGAGGAGGGCTGCCATCAGCCGCCACCTCCTCCCAGTCCCTCTCCAGACCACCTGAGACACTCGGGGGGAGCTTCATCACGGCCAGCCCGCCTGCACCTGCCTCAGGTCAGCTTCAACGGTCTCTCTGTTAGCAAGAGATTTGGGAAATATGCATATTTGCTTTCTTTGTGTTGCGGGGCATCATGTGTCGGTTGATATTTAGCATACAGACATGAGAGTGGTGTCGATCTTCTCATCTAAATCTTGTAAAGAAAGAAAAGTGACTTGGGACAGTGGTTGCTGAATGTTTCAGTTCAGGTGACATCATGTCTTTTCCTCAAAATGACATAAACAACCCACGGTTCCCTTTTTAAATATAACAACAAAAGTTTAACAGGAAACTGCTGTCTTGGTTTAGATCAGCATCGGTCAGGCCAAGGTGTCTCCTCACCCTCGGAGCGTGGACCCAGCCGAGGAGAATGACGCGGACGATGAAGGAGAGATCTGGTACAACCCGATCCCTGAGGATGATGAACTGGAGATGTCTCAGCGACCCTCCTTTCGACTGCGGGTTCCCCCCGGTGCAGAGACCCAGAGGAGGCCCAGCAGGGGAGGGGATGCGGGTCATGATGGCAAGAACCCGGGGAGCGGCAGCGGCACCGGCACCGTCGGGCCGGAGGCGTTCGGGGAAAGCCTCGGTGGTGGTGGTGGTTCAGGAGACGGGAGTCAGGGGAATGCTGTACATTCCACAGAGGCACTACATCTGCACAGACAGATGCTCGCGTGCAAACCACCGGAGGAGGGGGGGCCTTCCACCAGCAGAGCTACAGGTATGGCACAAAAAAAAAGACACATGCACACCTCCACTCATTCTTACTTTCCTTCCCTCCCTGCTTTTGTAGACTTTTTCATTCAGTCTTTCCCTCGCAGTACTTTGGGCCAATGCTCGAGGGCCAATTCGTTTTGTCTCTCAGACAGTCACTCAGATCTTTGTGGTTGCCCACACCTTGAGCACAAATTACAGCTGTTGAAATCGTTTCCAATCAACAGACTTATTTAGCTGCAAGTAATTCCTGGTTTACTACAGCTCTATTTAGAATCATATAAAGTATTTAAGTGTTAAGTTTGGGATGGTATGGCACCAAAAATAGAGTATTGCTGAGTTTAAAATACAAATGTAGCCATCCTAGCTCCGAGTTCTTTTTCTTGTTCTGCTCTGTTTGATAGGAGCAGACAGGAGCGTTGGCTGTCTAATCATATCGCTCCATATCAGTGTTCCTCATTAGTTAAACTCAGACAGACATTGGCCAGGAGGAATTCAACAGGCATTCCTCAGAGGAAAGAATAACCATTTACATACTTGTGACTGCAGCTCACACAAAGGGCGTCGTAAATTGATGGTTCTTAAAGGTTCTTCAGAGAACTCTCGCCTTGAAAGCTTGCTCATTAACGCTGCTGTTATTGTGTATGCGGATTAAACAAAAATACAGATTAAAGACCTGCAGAGTTTAAGCAGAATTAACATAAGTTAATTGTTTTACTTGTGTGCTTGGAGATTGTTGACAACTCTGGTCTACAGCGACGGCGTAATGATGACAGCCAGCACACGGCTCCCTGTCTCTTAATAAGCTCGGCCTGTTTTTTTCTAACTTCCGACTTTTTGTTCTCTCTGATGTGGCAACATGGTAGTTTGAACCAATTGGCACATCTTGAGCTGAGCCTATAATTACAACTTTTGACAACACTTTTCTGTGGCACGCAACAGCCATTTCCAGTTGTAGGAGCACAAAGAGTGGTGAAGTCTAATGCTTAAGCTTTTAGTCTTCACAGCCACAGTTTACTGCAGGAATAGAGCATGAAATGAGCTCAGAAATGTCTTTTTTTTTTCCCTGTGAAATACAACCGTTTTAAAAGTTGAAACCATTCAACCAGTCATTGAAACCTGTTCCTATCAATAAAAGAATATAATGTAGGCTTCAGTTTTCCGTACATATGTGGACATATATATACATATACACATACATATAAAGAAACGGTTTATCTGACAGAGTGGAAAGTTTCTAACCTCTTGAGGTGTTGCATTATCTCCCAGAATAAATCTGTCCGATACAAGGACACAGGTTAGATTGGCTTGTTAAATTCCGTTGATCCTCATTGACTGGCATCAAACTCCTGGCTGTCTCTGTGACATCACGTGGGGCTCAGCAAAACTCTCCGTCCTGAGAGAGACTCCGTGTAGGATTAGGATTAAACCAGTCCTCGAATTAGTCTCGGTGTTCCGGCACAGGAAAGGCACTAATCAAAGCGCACGGAGCTAATTATATTTAGGCTATTTCTGCCTGCACCTTTTAATAGGTTTCAGTCCTAATATGCAGTACAGGTGAAATTAGCTGGTGTCATAAGGGACTTTTTTTATGTCGGGTAAGCAGATGAGTGGGCATAATTGGAGGCTTGCATTGCTTGCTCAGCTGTTTTAATGGAGAAGAAATTTAGTTCTGAGCTTCTGTGGAAAGAAAGGCTTTTTTTTTATTGTTCACTGAGCTGTCTACCTTTTAAAAGTGATTCATTTTCCATCAACGTGCTACCATTCAAAGACCTTCCCCTCATTTACATTCTGCAATAAGCTTCTGTTTAATGAGAGTAGCAGGTCTGTGATAGTGTGGGTTTAGTGGTGCTCCGAGCGGTCGCTGTGAAAATGAGAAGCGGGAGCAGAAGTGTTTTTTTTTTTTTTTTTTTTTTTCTCCCTCCCGCTCTGGAACTGCCTCCCTCTCTGCTGCCTGTTGACTTTGCAATTGATTCCTGTGGGTTTGGCGACGCCATCCCACACATCGCTGCAACTAAAAAGAGCAACAAGCCCGGCTACGTGTCATCAAAGAGGAAACCGTCATTACTGGTTGTTGTTTGTTTGTGGGTGTTGTGGGTGCAGTGGGCCAAATCAAAAGAAAAGGTAGGAAGGTAAAATATTGCTCTAGTTAGAAGCCTCCTGTGTGTGTGTGTGTGTGTGTGTGTGTGTGTGTGTGTGTGTGTGTGTGTGTGTGTGTGTGTGTGTGTGTGTGTGTGTGTGTGTTGTGGTTGCTCTTAACTCAGTTTGTATTGGTTGCAGAATGACGTTGCGCTCCTCCTCCACTCTGTGTTGGGAGGTTTGGAGGATGGTTTTGGGAATGAAAAGGACAACAGCCTGCTGTGGGTGCTCACTCCACCCTTCATTCAGTGTCCCATCTCCACACTTTAGGGGACAACATTTTGTATATTTTCTACTGATTTGTCAGATAAATTGGACCTTTACAGCTTCAGCTCACTGAAATAGCTGATGAGCTGTTCGCTCACAGGAAAGTTTGTTGTTACATTTAATACAAACAAAAATATCTGCACTGGTTGGAGGGTTATTGTTCACAAAGATGCTTTGCCAGGTTGTGGCTGGTGGATAATGACAAATCTATTTCTTTAGGCCAAAGAAAATCATGATACAACAGTATTTTAAAGCTTTATATATGCGTGTGTACCAAAATAGCAGATTAGGAAATGCTGTACCAAGCTAAACCTCACTAAACACATGCGTTTGCTGGTGGAAGCATCATTGTTACGCCACAGTGAGCCATATCTTTACCGCATCTACTGTATGTTTAGGATACCACATCACGTGTTGCCTCACCACATTTTGGGAAATATACCCACGCCTCGTAGGGAATAATGACCTTTGATGTAAGCTTTAAGTACAGAACACAAGGAGTGCAGCCACAGTGTTGAACGCCACTATTTTAGTCCCATCTTTTATTCACAAATGATACGAGTCCTTACAGACTCCACTCTATGTGCAGGGCTAAAGATTTGACAGGCCTTTCGTTGATTGAGCACGAATAGGAGCGCCTGCTGAATTAATGAAGCAGTGCAGATGTAGATGACTCTCTGCCACTATGGCTTTCCTCTGTCCGGCTGGCTGGTTCTTTTACCCTCACCGGATACACTCCAGACTCCTCGTGTGCTGCCTATTGACTGACTTTTTGTCCATCTGAATGCTCTATTTGTATGGAGAATAATGATTGATGGACTTTGGGGGGTGGTGAGCATGGTGTGTTCCCAATCTCTTGTTCTGTAGCGCCTGTTTGGGGAATCTGACTTGGCCAGCGCTCAGAATGGGATCAGAGCTATTTCTGGGGGTTGTTTTGGTCACGCTGCCTGCTGCGTTTGAGAGTTGGCCCGGCCTGCTAAAGTTACATGAGAGTTCAAGCCTCTGAGCTCAAACATGGAATCTAATCTCTGCTGACGATTGCACGCTTGCACGGTTGGGTCTGGAGGAAGAACGACTCGGAGGGGCAACATTGTGAGAGCAGCACTTCAAAACCAGAGCAGATTCCTTAGCTTGGCGCTAGATGTGAAGTTCGGGCCACGTAGTTTTCTCATGGCTCTTTCTTTCTGGTCTGTTCTTCATTTCACTACCAGAGCAGCTGGAGAAAACTGTTCTGGTCTCTGTTTTGATGACTGAAGGATTTTTATCTCTGTACACTAATGCATAATCCTTCCTTAATTGGTCATGTATGCATTGGGGATCACAATAGAGAAAGCGAACAACGCGTCAAATTCTGAAAAACACGAAACAATCGGCACCACAATATGCAACCAAAGGCTGAAACACTAACAAAAAGCCTGTAGCGAGCTAAGAACACCACATTTAAGCATGCCAAACAATTACTTTAGCACCCTATGTATAACAGGGGTGCAGTTGATAACTAAAATAATGGTAAAGATTATAAGGTTAGCTATTAGCAAGCTAAAGGTAGCTATGCATTAGCTACTGTAGTTAGCTATGGCACTTGCAAACATAATACTGCATAATCTGATTTATCCACATTCCACTGTAACACAAGTTGCATACTGTCAAAAGGCTTTAGCGGAACTAACAGAAATCTAGTTAGCCTGAAACTAGCATTTGGAAATAATGCTTGCTGCACACGTAGTACTGTTTTAGGCATACTGAGTGTCAGGATCCCACAGTTTCCCCATTCGTCCTGCTGAGGCCTCAGGCCTTATTGTCTGTTTGTTTTTGGTTCGGCAGATAAAAACTAAATTCTGGGTTCTTAACCCTGTTGGTATTGCATCCCACCACACAGCAGCTTTTAAGGCATTTGCTGTTCTTTGCTAGCAGAAGAGAGTGACAAGGTGGCACCTTCACACAATGTGAAGTCAATGGAGAGCGATGAAGTGTTTTCCCCCTCCCTCTGTTGTGGGCGGGACTTAATTGTGCTCTGTCTCTATAGCATCTGTAGTTTAGTAGAATCTGATCTTGACCGTGTATTTGATGAGAGGTTTTCCTGGGGTGTTTATAACCCCCAACCACTATCAGTATAAGGCTGCAACTTACTATTGTCATTATTGATTCATCTTTTGAATTTTTTGTTTTCAATAAAACAGAGGAAAAAAAGTAAAAAGAATGCCCACAACAATTTCCCATGAGAGCCCAAAATGATATCTACATGTTGCCAGTTTCTGGACCGACAAAACCAAAAGATGTTCAATTCACTTTGATAAAAAGTAGCAAATCCTCACATTTGAAGGTCTGGAACCAACAACAGTGCAGTCGAGGTAAATGACCACAATCGTTGATTCAGATGCGGTGGGGTGCCTCCATTATTAAACACTACAGAAACCCTTTAATCCTTTGTCAAAAAACTATTTTTGATTAATTGTTGTTTTCGCACTGCTGTTATTTTAGCCTATAAGGTATAGTGTCTCTCTGCCTCTTCGTGCCAGCAACAATGAATTCCACTCGTAAAACCATTCAATTAAGATTGTATCTCCACGAAATGCTGAGTGCTGAAAAGTGGTTTGTTTTGAGGTTAGATAAGTCAGTCGCCAACACTCATCACGTAGCTGTTAGTGCCTTGTTCAGATCGTGGCAGTGCAGCGAGGCCGGTGTGGCTGCAGGTTGCCCAGAATCAGCAGCCACTCTGTCGGTTGAGCTACAGCAGAGCAGGAATGCCTGCAGTGACAGGCGAGCTAGGCTACGGGAGGGCTACTTTGGCAGGGGGCCATGTTGTGCTAGTGAGAGGGCCTGCATGCTTGGATATATTAGCAGGGGTTTTGTAACCATTGTAATGAAACGGCCGGGCTCCCGCGGCCCCTGAAAGGCCTTCCAGCACTGAATGATTTAGAGCCAAAAGGAGAGGAAGCAGCACAGAGCCTGGCCACGGTCACCGAGTGAAGAAACTACAGGACAAGTATGCCATTCACCGCTTTATTTACACTCCCCTTGTTTGTCAGCACACCCTGGTCTTTTCTGATTTTACATTTAACACACACATTTGGCATACATGCTGGTACGCACACACACGCACACACTCAAGTGAATATAAGTGGTTTTACAGGGGTAATCAGGGACAGCAGATTATTGTCTCCCTCCAAGGCTTATCAGAGTATGCTCAGTGTGTGTGTCTCTTTCTCTCACACACAAACACACATTGTTGTAGGCAAGGTCCCTAATATTGTATCACTGGAGGAAATTTCCCATTATCCGAGTATTATTTACATCTTGCCGTTGGCTAGAGGAACAATTTGGCTCATGATGGACGATACAACTACCAGCCCTATTTGATAATGATCAGGTTGTCTCTCACACTCACACACACACACACACACACACACACACACCCTTCTCCTGCACCTGTTTGGTGCCAGCGTTGTGTGAAGCCCTCGTCATAAATTCCTGGGCTTTGTTAAGAGGTGTCAGTGGCCGGGTGCCTGAGGGAGGGCTGCAGGGTCATCGAGGGCATGTGTGTGTTTGTCTCGATGCATGCATATTGACATGCACTCTCTCTTTGTGTTACAGTAATATGGTGAGTGCACGTGCGTGTTAATGCGATGGGGGTGCACATAGTTACCCGGCTCAGGTGTCACCCAGAGAAATGCAGACCCTTTGCCCTTTGACCCTGGAACATGGCCCTGGAGGGTTGGGTGTCAAACCATCGCCCCTGAACCTCAGCTAGTGAGGTGTCACGTTACTCTCCTGGCTGCTGCCACACGGCCAAAGGCTACAGAGGACACAGCTGTGTGTGTGTGTGTGTGTGTGTGTGTGTGTGTGTGTGTGTGTGTGTGTGTGTGTGTGTGTGTGTGTGTGTGTGTGTGTGTGTGTGTGTGTGTGTGTGTG